GCATAGCAAGGATGAGAAACGCAGCATTGGGGCAGCCAGGTGCCATAGATTACACGGCCAATCGACGAGGTAATTGCAGGCTGCAAGGCAACTAATGGGGAGACGTGGCATGAGACAAGTGCAGGGGGATATGTGAACATGGCCAGAAAACACGGGTACAGGTCAGACATTGTGTCCGGAGAAGTCGGACACCGGTAACGGTGATTACGACGTGAGTGAAATGGCACGAGTACATGGTATTACGGCAGTGTGGCACGTGTGATGGGAAGCGATTCAAAAAAACTGACGTGTATGAGCCGGGAGCACGACGGTGTAGCTAAGCGATATTAACGTAGAAGCTAGACATTGGGGCACATACGCGAGACATGGCAGTTGTGAGTGTGGTGAGGCGTTATCACTTATGTGAGACATGTGAGCCATGAAGTGAGACATGAGAGCCAGTACATCGGACCAGGGAGCAGATAAGTGGGTTATAGTAGTAGGGAAGCAAGGCGACACGGTCTCACGGCAGTGCCACATGGAAACAGGGACGCAGCGACAAACAAACATAGATGCATGACTTGGAAAGCGGGGGAGAGAGCAGAAAAGGGAAGGGAGAGATGGCAGCATGGGAGATTTCAGTGGAGGGAGACAGCAGGAGAGTGAGTATGAAGTGCTCAGACACGGCAGCAGCGTGTTGAGCCGGGAAGGGATACATGGCAGTGGGGGTGAGTGTACGGAAACCAGCCAAGGATAGAGCTGGGAAGAGAGCCAAAAAGGTAGAGATGGCAGCAGGGGAGATTTCAGTAGAGGGAAACCAGACACGGATGCATGGACGGTGGGAGACACTATCGTCAAGCTCATAAATGTGGGGGACGGGACACGGATGCATGGAAGAGAGCAGCGAAGGGAGAGATGGCGGCAGGGGAGATTTCTGTGGAGGGAAACCAGACAGGGATGCATGGAAGAGAGTAGGGAAGGGAGAGATGGCAGTAGGGGAGATGCAAGTTGAGGAAGACAACAGACAAGGGAGTACGTAGTGCAGACACGGTAGCAGTGTCGAGGGAGACGACAGGAGAGGGAGTATGTAGTGCTCAGACACGGCAGCAGCGTGTTGAGCCGGGAAGGGATACATGGCAGGGGGGGTGAGTGTACGGAAACTAGCCACGGATAGAGCTCGGAAGAGAGCAATGAAGGGTGAGATGGAAGCAGGGGAGATTTCAGTGGAGGGAAACAATTCACGGATGCATGGAAGAGAGTTGGGAAGGGAGGGATGGCAGCAGGGGAGATTTCAGTAGAGGGAAACCAGCCACTGATGCATGGAAGAGAGCAGGGAGGAGAGAGATGGTAGCAGGGGAGATCAAAGGGAAGGGAAATCAGACACGGATGCATGGAAGAGAGTAGGGAAGGGAGAGATGGCAGAAGGGGAGAGATTTGGGAAACTTCCTACTGATGAAGGGAAGAGACTAGGGAAGGGGGAGATTGCAGCGATGGGAGAGAGCTGGGAAGGGCGACACGTGAGAGCGGTGGAGAGAGCATGGAAGGCGGAAATGGCAGCGAGTGAGATAGCAGGGAAGGGGGACGTGACCGCAGTGGTTAGAGACATTGGTTGACAGAGTAACGACTTACGTGAAGTGGATTTCGGTGCAGCATGACCTGATCGGGCCACCCCTCGACCACGATGGTGGTTGTCATGTAGCCGCGCCCTGAGCTTGCCAGGTACTCGAGATGGAGCCTTTCAAGATCCCGCGAGTTGGAAATGTTTGCGTCGACGAGATTCTTAGCTAATTCTGGATGCAATAGTAGTTGCAGTAGACGGTTGGTATTCATCTTCGATAGTCCGTCACCTCCATTCACGCCGTCCACGAGCTGCAGCAACTTGAGAAGCGCTGGGGTAATCTTCACATTGGGAGATGATGGATCAGATGTGCCCTCGCCGCAGTCATGAGGCGGTGCAGGGGTACCGACGGTCCCTCCTCCACGGGCTCTGAGGATGTGGAGGTTGAGGGCATATCCTCTCGAGCGCCCGTCTCCCCATCGCCACCCGACACTGGTGATGGCATCTCAGCATCGCGATTGGACTCTGGATGGTGCGATTGCGGGCTAGCCGACGTGTTGTTATCAGCAGCTGCCACCCTACGTCTGACCCTGCGCCTGTAGGTAGGAGCAGGGACGGCATACACGACCCCGACACCTCCGTGAGTCGAAGTGTCGGGTGCTCCTCGCCGTGATCGCCGTCCTCGCCATGGCGCGCAGGGTGAGTTTCCACCTAGGTGCCTGCCCAGCACCTGTGCATTTGCGCAGCATTTGCCGCAGACGCTACAGAAACAGGTCTCCGCGCAATCCATCTAAGCGACAGCTGAATAGGAGGAGGTTCGACTACCAGATGTAAATGGCGCGCATAAGTGTGTTCTAAAAGCGACAAACTCAGTGACGAGATTGCGATATGGTACAGGGTGGTGGGATCCTAACCAAATGGCAGACGTGACCGTGGTTGGTGTCATCGTCGAGGCCCCCCAACAGTGAATCGAGGCAGCTCTACAAAGGAGGGGAGGGAAAACGCGCAGCATCGGGAGCAGGATGGTCACGCCAGACGCGGCTGATTATGTTAGGGTTACGCACGGCTTAGTGCATGAGAGCGTATAAGGAAAGACGAGATGCTGGAACTTGGATTTGAATCCTGAAATCTATACCCTTTATAGATCACTAGCGTAGAAGCAGGGGTGAAAGAATGAATACCTATACTGTCAAAAATGTGTGCTTGTGAAAATGACCATGAGTTATTGAAACCCCGCCATAGGGGAACAACCCAAACTCTTACCGGGATGGTTCGTACAGTACACCCAGTTTCGCCAACCCCGAGACGCCGTTCCGCATGTGTGAAACGAGTAGGTAACGGGTGACCTAACCCTAATGTTGCCAGCTCAGAACATTGCACACTCGGCAACTCGTGGTGGCTGCAGCGCGGCCCGCAGTTACCACCGCTATTAGGTGCTTCGGGCGGTCCATTCGTTAGCCCCACACCTCAACACGTACTAGGAACTTGCAATGGCAGCACGAATCTTGATGACACCGCACTTATAAAGCTGCTCCTCTTTTCACGCACGTCTCGGTTACTACAAGCGATCGGTGCGCCTTGTTCGCACGCATCGCCCGGAAGCGCTACGCCGAAAACTGGAGCAACATAGGGTCTTTCTGACCATGAGGTGTTCAGTGGCCGACGCTGCCAGTACCTGCCTCGCATATAACACGCGTCACTTAAAGTGCAAGCCTTTTGAGAAATGTGTCATACTCCTTCGTCTTCAGCTTGTGTTTGAGTTCGTGTTTGAGAGAAGGCCCGATGAAGAGGAAAAATACAGATTACTTCCGTACTCGGAAGATCTTGTCAGAATATTATGCTCTAGCCTGTAGTGGGGTGCTCTGTAGCGAGTACAACCCTTCTAGGGTTTGCTATTTGTATCCCCATTCTTGCTAGTTCAGTCCTCTTTTGCCTAATTCTCTCGACATGCTATCAGAGCAGGACGATCCAGATGGGTCGATCCTGTGGGTGGGCCCCACCACCTGCTTCCGCTGCTCCTACTACTCTTTGTGTCGCACGCCCCGTGGCGTGCGACGGATTTTTCATCCCGCCGCGCGCTCGGGGCGTGCGGCGGTTTTCTCCCCGCCGTGCGCCCCGAGGCGCGCGGCGGTTTCCTACCGTGGGGGACGCCCGCGGCCCCTCGATTCCGTCGCACGCGCCCCCCCCCCCCCCCCCCCCCCCCCCCCCCCCCCCCCCCCCCCCCCCCCGATCCCGTCGCCCGCGGCCCTGCGATCCCGTCGCCCGCGGCCCCGCGATCCCGTCGCCCGCGGCCCCCCGATCCCGTCGCCCGCGGCCCCCCGATCCCGTCGCCCGCGGCCCCGCGATCCCGTCGCCCGCGGCCCCCCGATCCCGTCGCCCGCGGCCCCCCGATCCCGTCGCCCGCGGCCCCGCGATCCCGTCGCCCGCCCCCCCCCCCCCACCCCCCCCCCCCCCCCCCCCCCCCCCCCCCCCCCCCCCGATTTCCCGTCGCGCCGCCCTAAGGAGCCGCGCGCGACCCCCCGCGGCCCCGATTTCCCGTCGCGCCGCCCTGGGGAGCCGCGCGCGGCCCCTCGCTGCCCCGTGGTGGCGCCCTGGGGGCCGCGCGCCGTCCCCCTCGCCGTCCCCCGCGCTCCTTCCCCCGTTCCGCCCGTTTTTAGGGTTTGGGGGTGAGGAGTGTGGGGGTGGCAGCTATGGGGGTGCCGTGTGTGTGCGCCGTCCCCTGCTCCTCCTCCTCCTCCGTCTCCCACTGCTGCAGCTGCCGCTGAGGGGGGTGGATGTGTGGGAGCCGAGGGTTAGGGTTTAAAGGGGGGTGCCGTGGGAGTGGAGCTAGGGGTTCAGCAGGGGGTGTGTGTCGAGGGGTGTGGGACAGTTGGAGGAGGTTGAGCGGAGGTCGCCGTCGTGTCGTCCGCAGCGCCTGTATTCCGGGGGTCGATTAGCCACCGGTAGCTCAGAGAGCCGGTTGCGCCGTCGCCTGTGGGTCCGTTGCTCCTGCCGTGCATATTAGCCGCGGAGCCTGTTACTCCTGTACTCCGGGGCACTCATTCCCGGTAGCCACGTTGTCGCACCAGAGCCGTCTGTTGCCCGTGTGTCTGCAGCTTCAGTCGTCGCCTCCTATCTACTCTCCTCTCGCCAGCCCTCCTCCTCCTCACTTGCCCCTTTTGTGACTGCCTCTAGCTTTGCTCATAATTGTGAACCTTAAACTATTGCTTCTTGCTTGTGCTCAGAATGTGTGGTGACATCGTGATCCACCCTGAGCTTGTACTGCTTTGTTTGCTCTGCTGATTACACCCCACTTTGGCTATGGGGGTGTGTCAGAATATTATGCTCTAGCCTGTAGTGGGGTGCTCTGTAGCGAGTACAACCCTTCTAGGGTTTGCTATTTGTATCCCCATTCTTGCTAGTTCAGTCCTCTTTTGCCTAATTCTCTCGACAGATCTCACCCGCCCAGTATAGTCCCCCGCCGATGGAGTCGCAAGAAGACTCTGACGACGTCACTCTACATGCGCAGCCGGTCAACGCGCTGCATACCGTGGCCGGAGGGTGTGAGGCGCGGGGCGAGGAGACGTTCTTGGATTTTATGAGAAGGATCAACAGGGGCGGTGGTTATGGAATAGACACTCAGGCGCTGTTCCAAGAAGATCATGAAAGGATGCTTCTTGAAGAATACATGAAGAACGAGGAGCAGAAGGATCCGACGCACGCACCGTCACCAGTTGCTGCGGATCCATTGGTAGATGCTGATGCGACTTCAGCGCCGTCTAAGCAGGATCCAGGCCCGTCACCTCTAGCCGCAGGGCGCGATGCCGAAGCTACCGCTGGGCCGAAGTCTGCCCCGCCACCAGCAGCTGCACCGTTGGAGGGAGGAGCTCAGGCTACCGCTGGGCCGAAGTCTGCGCCGCCACCAGCAGCTGCACCGTTGGCAGGAGTAGCTCAGGCTACCGCTGGGCCGAAGTCTGCCCCTCCACCAGCAGCTGCACCGTTGGCGGGAGGAGCTCAGGCTACCGCTGGGCCGAAGTCTGCCCCGCCACCAGCAGCTGCACCGTTGGCGGGAGGAGCTCAGGCTACCGCTGGGCCGAAGTCTGCCCCGCCACCAGCAGCTGCACCGTTGGCGGGAGTAGCTCAGGCTACCGCTGGGCCGAAGTTTGCCCCGCCACCAGCAACTGCACCGTTGGCGGGAGGAGCTCAGGTTAATTCAGGGCCGAAGTCTGCCCCGCCACCACTCACACCTGCCCGCATCGGAGCTGCTGAAGCTACCATGGGACCAGATCCTGGGGAAAAAGGCGGAGACAACCAGCCTGCACCCGTGGACGCGCATGCCAACGCTGCCCAAGCCACTACGGATGCTGGCGACGTTGGTGAGGTGTGCGGCCATGTACAGACGCTTGGTCTGATGCAGCGTGGTAAGCTTATGTGTTCTGTTAGATTCAATGTTCCACACCAATGGAAAGGAATCTGGATGATGTAATATTGCTTAACTTTTCTTGCATGATGTAATATTGCGCAGGTCTGCTCCGCACCCTGGAGGAAGAAGGGACTGCCATAGCTGGGGTCCACCTTGCAGCGAGGTGGATCACGGTCACTGAGTATCTGTTGGGAATCAAACATGTTTGATTCATCCTGTAGTGTTAGGTTGGAGCAGGGTTTAGGTCTTGATTCTCAACACCTGGGGAGCTTTCTTTTGAAAAGGGGCTCCTTATGGGTCTTGGTTTAACGTTTGCTTGTTATGTTACTAGTAGGTATGTGTAAGGCATGTACGGTAGTGCCTCATCCCTATGACCAGATATATTGTAGCAGTGTAAGCTTCGTGATTTTGCAAAATGTGCAAGAGCAGGCGGTATTGTATGTAGTTTCACGTTTGGGGGGAGCGCAAGGCCTGATAAAACTCTACGCTAACTTACTGTGATGAGTTGAGAGTGTAGTGAGGCTGGTGTCTCATCCTAACACCATGTCATAATATACAGCATAGGTATATTTTTAACAAAAAGGGTAACACATCCAACTCCTGGTTCATGCTATAATGTTATATATTGTTAGAGAGATGTAGAGCTGTGTTATGCTTAACATGCCCATGATAAGTGAGGTTGAGTGTGTGGCGTCTATGCCGAGCTGTCAAGAGATGCAGCTGCCGTATGCTGAACAAATACCCACAGGTCTAGGGCATGAAAACAAACAGTGTTGCAGCATTGTTGGCTTCCGATTTTTCGCGCTGGCAACGCCTACGAGACTTCCGATTTTTCGCGTGATGCAACAGTTAGCAGCCAAGATTGAATGGTTGTTGTGGACAGATACAGTTGTGTTGGCTGAACACTGAGGGCAGTACTGATACATCACGGAAAGTCGTAGTTTTAGCGTGAACGGTCCTAAATTCCCTTGTACCTTCTCTTTGAACACTGCGAGCATTACGGTTTTTGTTAGGCCCGCTGGCCTAAGTTTGCTAAAGAATTAGCGGGGTCGACTAAGTCGAGGATGAAGCGCGGCGGAAGACTTTGGCGAAAGAACTACTAGCGAAATAGGCGAAGGAGTTACTGAGTAATTGAAGAAGAGTTGAATGAGAATTGGTTGATAATGCCAAGTACAAGCAAGGTTTATAAAGCATGCAAGAAACAAGGTTGGAAAGTGGATTGTGGGACCAAGAATTGTAGTGCAAGAAAAGTAGAGTGCCACGTGGCACTAGAGAATCTGAGAAGATAAGGATAAGGGTGACTTGGAAAGTACTGTTCGGAATGAACAGTAAATCCCCCCTTAACACTACCCCCCTCCCAAGGAGGCGACGTCCGCGGCGCCTGCAGACTGAAGGTACGCTCGGAGGCAAGCGTTGTCGGGAGACAGCGAGGACGAAGGAACCCAGCTGTCGTCGGCTGCATCGTAACCACGCCAACGAACCAAGAAGTCGATGAAAGAGACACCTCCCTGCAGACGGCGACGGTGCCTGAGGATGCGCTGGATCTGGTAGTCGGGCTCGTCGGTGTCAACAGCTACCGGCAGTGGAGTGCGATCACGGCCCGAGAAGGTGGTGTTGGGATCAGTGTAAGGCCGAAGGAGAGACACGTGGAATGATGGGTGCATGCGGAAATGAGCGGGAAGGCGAAGGCGGTATGCGACTGGACCAAGTGCGCGCTCAATGACGAATGGACCAATGAAACGTGGGCGAAGCTTGCTGTCCTGTGGCAGTCGGAGGTTGCGGCTATCGAGAAGGACACGGTCCCCAACAGAAAACGACACCTCACGACGACTGCGGTTGGTGGTGCGTGCCATGCGTGCATTTGCGAGCTCAAGGTGCTTCCTCACGTGGTCGTGAATGAAGGTGAGATGCTGGTGGAAGTTGTCCGCACGAGGGACGGTGGGTGTGAGATTGACACGGGTGGGGACAATTGGGTGCTGACCGTACAGTGCAAAGAACGGTGACATGCCTGTGGCGGAATGATGCGTGTTGTTGTAGGCGAACTCAGCCATGCTCAGCTTCTTGTCCCATGCGGCTGCGTCGTGCATCGTGATGCTACGAAGAATCTGCTCCAAGGTCTGGTTCACGCGCTCAGTCTGTCCGTCTGTCTCTGGATGGTACGCAGACGACATGGCTAAGCGAGTCCCAAACAGTGCGAAAAGCTGCTTCCAGAACTTCGAGGTGAATCTAGGGTCGCGATCGGAAATGATGGAATCGGGAACCCCGTGCAGTCGAACTACGTTATCTACAAACAGCGTCGCGGCTTCCTCTGCTGTGACCTGGCCGTGCGTGGGGATGAAGTGCGCTGCTCGAGAAAACTTGTCGACTACAACGAAGATGGCGTCGTGACCCCTAACTGTGCGCGGTAATGCCATGATGAAATCCATGGTAACTACCTGCCAAGGGCGGTCGGGCGGTGGAATCGGCTGCAAAAGTCCTGCCTTGCGCTGTCGCGAGGACTTCGTACGCTGACACGTGTCACACGAGCGAATGTAATCCTCTACGTCTGCTGCAAGCCCTGGCCAGTAGTACGTGCGACTAAGCGTCTTAGCCGTCTTGTCTGCTCCGAAGTGACCTGCACTAACTACATCGTGCGCCTCTGAGAGAAGGAGCTGTCGAAGAGGGCGGTAGGCTGGAACCCAAATCCGTGTGGTGCCCTTCCGTATGTAAACACTACCCTGCACCTCTGCTCCTGCGGGCGGCTGCGGTGTGAAGTCGGGATCTACTGTGTAACCGTGCTCGAAGAGTGCTGTGAGAAGTGGATGGCCTGCAGTGACTGTGAGGCTAGCGAGCTGACAACTAGGGCGAGTGAGCGGATCTGCTGGGTTGCGCACGCCTGGCTTGTACTCTATCCTGTAATGAAAGCTCCCCTCCATGAACTCCATCCATCTAGCCTGGCGACGACTCAGCTGCGGTTGCGACTTGAGAAAGCGAAGCGAGCAGTGGTCCGTGCGTATAACACTGTCTGCCCCCTCTAGGTAGCACCTCCACACCTTATACGCATGGATGATCGCTAGCGCCTCCTTGTCGTGTATCGGATAGTTCAGTTCCGCTCCCCTAAGCTTACGCGACTCGTACGCGATCGGCTGCAACCCGCGTCCCTGGTCCTGAAGAAGTACTGCTCCTATGGCCTGATCTGAAGCGTCGGTCACTACAACGTACGGGCGAGTGGGATCAGGGTACGACAGTGTCGGTGAAGACGTGAGCGACTGCTTCATCTGCTCGAACGCCTGCTGCTGCGCTGGACCCCAAACGTACTCTACGCCTTTCCGAAGTAGGTCGGTGAGTGGACTAGCGATGGAAGCGTAACCCTGAACGAAACGGCGGTAGTAATTCGCGAATCCGAGAAAGCTCTGCAACTCCTTGACTGAGGTCGGTGCTACCCAATCCTGTACTGCTGCGATCTTCTTCGGGTCGGTCCTAACGCCACTAGCGGATACGACGTGTCCTAGGAACTCGACCTCGGGGAGAAAGAACTCGCACTTCGACTGCTTCGCGTACAGCTTCTCCCTCCGTAGGACCTCAAAGACCCTCTGCAAGTGCTGCACGTGCTCCTCTTTCGACTTGGAAAAGATGAGTATGTCGTCTAGGTAAACGACAACGAACGAACCTAGGAACTCGGAGAGGACGGTGTTCATAAGCGTCTGGAACGTCGCTGGGGCGTTGGTCAGTCCGAACGGTAGAACCCTAAACTCGTACAACCCCTGCTTCGTACGAAACGCCGTCTTGTGCTGGTCCTCTGGAACTACGCGAATCTGGTGGTAACCCGAACGAAGGTCGATCTTGGAAAATACTCTAGCGCCCTGCACTGCATCTAGAAGATCCTCTACTCTCGGCACCGGGAATCTGTTCTTGACGGTGGCGGCGTTCAGTGCGCGGTAATCTATGCACATCCGTAACCCTCCGTCTTTCTTAGGCGCGAAAAGGATCGGTGCGGCCCAAGGCGATCTAGATGGCTGTATGAACCCCTGCGCGAGAAAGTGCCTAACCTGCTGCGTCATCTCCTCTGTCTCTGCTGGACTCAACCTCCACTGCGGCTTCGCTACTGGCCTGCTTCCCGGCTCCAACTCTATTCGATGGTCTACTGCTCGGCTGGGAGGTAACCCTGGGGGCAACTCGTCGGGGAAGACGTCTGCGAACTCTGCTAACAGTGCACTCACCTCAGCAGGAAGAGTCGCCTTCTCACTAACTGCTGCGCTCCCTCCTTTCCCCTCCTCAGCTTCCACCTCCTCAAGGAAAACCGCGAAGATCCGTGCCGCTCGCTTCACCAGCTGTCGCACACGAACAGCATTGATGATCGCTGTGGATGATGTGGCCCCATCGCTCCACTGTGGCAGCTCCCGGAACTCCCCGTCTACCTTGACGCTGCAGCTTCCCTGAGCCCAATCGAACTGAGTACTAACCGTCCGTAGCCAATCTCTCCCGAAGATGAAATCGTAACCGTCCAGCGTCGCAGAGTCGAAGTCACGCCTAACTGTGATCGGTCCTAGCACTACGCGCAACTTGCGAATGACTGGTCCTATGTGAAGTGGCGTCCCGTCTACCATGCGAGCGTCTTTGAAGTTGACTGAAGTGTCCGCTTCAAGATGAAGATGACTAACTAATGAAGACGAAACGAACGAGTGGCTAGCTCCGCTATCTACGAGAATCTTGACTGGAACTCCGCGAAGCTTCCCTAGAAGCACGACTGGTCGGTCAACAGTGTCTACCTCGTTCTCCGTAGATGACTGCTGCGAGGCCGTCTCCTCTACGTTGGTAGACGTGGCGGGTACGGGAACCTCCACACCAGCTAGCGACCCGCTATCTACTGGCGGTTTCCGTTTCCCTGCTGTCGCTCCTTGAACTGTGGGCAGTCCCGCTTCATGTGTCCCGGCTTTTTGCAGTAGTGACAGTTCCCCCTAAATCCGTTGCGCTGTGAGCCGTCACTGTTAACTGCACCAATCTCCATGGGCGACGGTCCGTCCCTCGATCGAGCGTCGTTGATCGGTCTGTTGTATCCCCTATCGCGATCGTCACGACCCCGT